AATGCACAGTTCTCTGCGTTCAGTGTCCGCTCTCCACGGGGCTATGTCCCAGCTATTTAAATAAGAAGCAGCAAAGTGGGAGGTCCTGGGTTCGAACTATTTATTGAGCTGAGACAGGCACCAGAAGAGTGGTCCTTCTGTCCGGCCCAGCACTCCGCTGATGGACAGGCAAAGCAGGAGAATGATGGGGACCCCGGGCCTCGGGGCCAGTGGGGTGGCTGCATCCGGGCCTCCAGGCAGGCCGTGGCAAGCACCAGGAGAGCTGGCAGCAGGAAGTGGACCAGTGTGTCTGGCAGTCCCGAGCAAGGCTCCAGGGGAAGGAAGGAGGAGAGAAGGCAGAAAAGGCTGTGGCTTTTCGATCATCAGATCTGGATTTAATTTCTGTCTCTGCGGCTCTTAACCTTGCCAAGATCCATTTCCTCACCTGTAAAATCTAGCTAACTAAAAGGTACCCCGTAAAGTGGCTGAAAGATTATGTGTGTGAAGCACTTGGCTTTGGGGACTGTTTAATAATAATAATATCAAAGCTAATGTTTGTCAGGTAATCAATATGTGCCAATCATTATTTTAAGGACTTGATGAATTTTCATTCTGAACAGCAGCCCTATCAGGGCGATAAATTTTCATCCTCGCCTTAAGGCTGAGGACACCGAGTCGCAGAGTTGAAGTAGCCTTCCCAGCCCGAGGCAGAGAGTGCGGAACACGGATTCCGACCAAGGCCATCTGGTCTTGGCCCTCCTGCCTGTCCACACTTCCTGGGACTGACTCATAAACATCACAGCTCAACACAGAATGACAACTACTTCATCAGTAGTACTCTGTGTCCTGTGCAGCGGTCGTTGAGCTGGGCAGGTCACCAAATCCAAGACTCAAACATGGGACCAAGGCCGAAGACCAGTCAGGACGGAAGCCCGCTGAGTGCGGCTGTGGCAGGTGACTGCGCTGCCCGCTGCGCACGGGGCTGTCACGGCCTCCACACCTCCTGGCCTCGGCCACGGTCACTTCTGAGAGGTGGACCTGGGCAGGCAGACAGAGTCCAAGCACTTCCCACTGCGGGTGGGGGTGAGGCTTCCCCAGTAAACTGTAACCATGTTCCAGCCCTGCCTGAGGGTCCGCGCTTTACCTCCATGAGTCTCCCCTCCAGCCCCTGCACTCTCTGCCCCGGGCCGCTGCCTTCCAGCGAGTGTGACTGTCACCATCCAACAGCTGGTTGGACACAGGCAGGAATGGGTCACCTCTCTGCTTTTAATGGCTTCTTTACAACCACTGCACTTATTTTTGCTTTTAGCTTGATTATACATGATGAGTACTGGCCAATGTCATTTCAGTTAATTTCTGCAGATTCAGGAAACTTATGAGAAGGCCGCTGCTCTCTGCAGCAAGGCAGACAGATTCCAGGTTCGAGGCAGAAAGATTCCAGGTTCGAGGCAGAAAGATTTCAGGTTCGAGGCGGTTTGCTGAACACACGGGCTCATAGTCAGACGAGGCTGCACAGGAGCCGTAAGCCCAGGCTCCCCAGCATCCTGCTTGGGCGCAGTACTCGAACTCTCCCACCCTAATTTCCCACCTGCACAAAGGGGACACGGTAGTGCCAGCTTCATAGGCCTTCGTGAAATGATAGCTGTGAGACTCTCTGCCCCTTCGTTCCTGCACTCAAGCAAACATCAGTGGCCACTGTTCTTATCGTCAGGCTTATTTTTATCAACCAAGCAGCCTCTTTCACACGAGGGGACCACTGCCGGGCAGGGATTAGAGCTCCTCTTGCCCAGTGTTTGCTCTTACACCTCACCCAGGAAAAGGTGTGTGTGTGATAGTTAATGGTGATTTACAGCTGGTATCCTGAGCAGGTTTTGTTTGTAACACGGATGGAAATCCAGAGCTTGAAGGAAGAAAACAATAGTAAAAATCCTGCTGTCAACCCCACAAAGCAGGAAAAGTGTTTGTAAAGCAGGCTCTCAGGAGCTGAGAAACCTTCCCACCCCCCTGCGCTGCCTTAGGGTTACTGAGCAGGTACCTTGGTAGACAAGTGTTAAAGTATCAGAAAACAAAGCGAGTAAGTTGAGTGAGGGAACCATAGGAATGTCAGGAGCTCGTCACCTTTCCGGTTCCTTGGGAAAGGCCGTGAAAGCCACAGAGCACACTTCCGAGGCCCTGAAGAAACACCCTGCTTGACCTGTGGGCTTATCCCACACCACAAATATCTGTGTGATGAAAAAATAAATTAGCAGAGCAAGGATTCCCTGGATCCAAATACCTCACAACTCCTCGAACATCAGCAACATTGGGTGTGTCTCTGTGATTCTGGGGATAAGGTGTACATATGGTTGATTCCCCGGAGCTCTACAGTCCAAAGTGATTAAGAATTATCGCTTTGCCCTGTCCTGTTTGGCTCAGCGGTTAGGGCATCGGCCCACGGACCAAAGAGTCAAGGGTTCGATTCCCAGTCAAGGGCTCGTACCTCAGTTGCAGTTTGTCCCTGGCCCTGGTCGGTGTCCTGCAGGAGGCAGCCACTCGATGTATCTCTCTCACATCAATGTTTTTCTCTCTCTTTCCCTCCCTTCTTTCTTTCCTTCCTTCCTCCCACTCAATCTGAAAACAAATGGAAAAATATCCTCAAGTGAGGATTCAAAAAAAAAAAAAAATTATCGCTTTGCTTTCTGGACCCCCAATCCCATCCCCAGCCACCTCTGGGCTGCCCTTGGATTGGGGCCATCACACCTAACGCAGGAACACGGTGGCTGTAGAGATGAAAATGTCCCTGGAGTCCATCAGCTCCAGGCCCCAATTCGTTGTGAAAAGTGGGAAGTATGTGCTGGGGTACAGCCAACTCCAAAGATGACAGACAAGGCGAACAGAAACTGTTCATCCTTGCAAACTTTCCAGCTTTGGGGAAATCCGAGAGTCCTACTCCATGTTGGCCGAAACTAGCGGCCAGCACCACCCTGGAAACGGCACTGACTGGGCACAGCCTGCTAGAAACACCAGCGCGCGCACACTGGCTGGTACTGACCCAGGAGACGGCGTGACCTTCAGCAGTCTGCCAGAACAGACTGGTACAAGTAAATCGAGAGAAATGTTTCTTTAGTAAAACTGGCCAAAGCTTATTGAAGGAAGGGAGGGAGGGAGAGAATAAAGCACTGCTCTGGAGCAGTATTTTGAGAGAGGAAGTTGTAAGCGGGCCCCAAGGCCAAAGTCAACTGGGTAAATGTGAAAGAGCTGAGGAGCAGGGCCTTGGAGGTGAGAACGCTGACCCTGCTTCCACCTCCTGACCCGCGGGCAAGCCTCTCCCTACCTCCGCCTTCCCGCTCTTTCTGGAAGGCTCTCCCAGTTCACTCCAGGCCCCTCCCAGTCATCCCTCAGGACTGCACACCCAGTTACAAAAGCCTAGGTCCCCTACCACAGGATGTCCCCAGGAGGGAGACAGGGGCTTACTTGCATCACCAGAATTATTCCCGGGTCCTCCTTGCTCCTTCCTGCGGCACGAAAACCCTCACACAATTGCTGAGACGACGAGAATCTTGTATTTGCTAATAGTTTGCCCCCTGGTTTGTGTCGCCTGGTCATCATTTATTCTGGACCCTAAGTGCCAAGGTCCCACTGCTGTTGAATTTTGTTTTATGTAGGAGGTTCAAAGGCCAGAGTTGAATAACCAGACTTCAGAATCACATGCAATGTTGCAGCACTGTTCGCTGAGACTCGGGGGCTGGCTCTGCCAAACACCTAACCTGTATCTTCAATTAATTCTGGGCGCTTTTATTTTTCATATTCTGTTCTCAAATACAATAGTTACCTTTCTTTTAAATCTTTGCAAATCTGATTTCTAATTCACCGCCCCCCCACCACCACTAGGCCCCTGCATATGGGTTGGAATTTTCAATTTACTAAGAAAGGAAGAAATTCTTGTTCGGGGAGTGGTTTTTCAGGCATTCAAAGCCTTTATTCTCTTTGGGTGGAAAGCAAGGTTTTCCCAGCAGCTTGAAGAAGGCATTTTATTTAGTTGTGTTTTTTTGTTTATTTGTTTTAATCCTCACCGGAGGATATTTTTCTATTTATTTTCAGACAGAGTGGGCGGGAGGGGGGGAGGGAGAGAGAGAGAGAAACAGATGTGAGACACATCGATTGGTTGCCTCCCCCACCGCCAGGGGTCGCAACCTAACCGCAACAGAGGTACGTCCCCTTGACCAGAATCGAACCCGCGACTCTTTGGTCCGCAGGCCAACGCTCTAACCCAGAGGCAAAGAAGACATTTTATATGTCCTTTCTTTGCTTGCCCTCTGGGCTCCACCTCACCCACAGGATGGCACAGTGCTGCTCTCTTTCCCAGTAGCAAAGGCTTAGTAATAGTTGGCGGGGTTCCTCGACTCTGAATCAAGCTCCAGACTGCACTTGCCCGCTTCCTGGCAGTCAGTTCCCAGCACAAACACGACACACGCACACTCGCACGCAGCACTTAGTTTGGCCAGGACCCAGAGGACCCTGGGTTAGTAGATTGAATGGGGCTTTGCTGCCTTCTCAGCTGTGGTTTGTTTATGTATGCATTTATATGAACCACTACGGGAGGCTGAAGATGGGAAACAACTTCTACTTGCTTCTCCACTAGGTCCCCTCACTGGATCAAGCTCCTAATGCACGAGATGGAGCACTCTCTCCCTCCGCCCCAATCTAAAGCCAGGGTGTGAGTCTCTCTTCTGTCAACATCCCCGAAGGGTGTGCCCCCAGTGTGAGCTCATCTGACGCAGTTCAGGGGCCAGAAAGGGAGAATCACAGGCCGGTGACGCGCTCCCCACCCTGCGCTCCCTGGAGCCTGCAAGGCGCTCTCCGGGGCGGCTCCGAGCGCAGCGGTACGTGTCGGGCGAAGGGCAGAAAAGCCGCAGAAAAGCCCGCGCAGGAGAGCGTGCGGCCCCGGTGACGTCAGCAGTAAGACGCGGGGCACCGAGGAGCGGAGGCCAGTGGGGACTCCTGGGGACCCCGCGGCCAGGGTGCAGGAGTGGCGCACCCACCTCTTGATGTAGCGGTTGAGGCGGCAGAGCTGCCCGTCCAGGCGCACGACACCGTCGCTGAAGACGTTGAAACCCCCGCTCGTGGCAGCCGGCTCCCCGGGTCCGGGCACAGTGAGCTGGTCCCCGCGCAGCTGGAGGGCGCCGGGCAGCAGGCGCAGCAGCTGGGCCACCGGCAGCAGGGCCAGCTCGCAGTCGCACGTCCACAGGCTGCGCAGCTCCCCCGACGAGATGGAGGTCAGGCTGGGCCTGGCCGGGGGTGCGCACGTCGCCGCCGCCATCCCGCCACCCCTGAGGTCCCAGGTCCGCCTGCTCCGGTGCCGCCCGCCCGCCCGGGAGGAGCGCTGCAGCCCGGAGCGGAGAAGGCTGTCCGGCGCCGCGCGGCCTTTTTATCGCCTTTGGTACCGCCCCACCCGGCCGGGGCTCGACCCCAGGCCTCCAGGCCGAGGGCGCACCACTCACAGCTTGGCGCGCTCCCGCCCGGCCACAGCGGCCCGCGGCCAACGGTTACTCATCCCGCCTCCCCCTTCCCCGCCCCCGCCCCGGGTCCCCAACTTCTCACCCAGGGCTGGGCGGACGTCTGCGGTGGGGTGGGGTCAAGGGCCTTGGTGTTGAGTCCAGCCCTTGGTGCGCTGGGAGGGCGCCAGCACCCACCCATGCCCAGGACACCGCACCTGTGCGTTCCTACTGGAGGGGGCGCGCCCCTTGCCCGCCCCTCCGCAGGGCCATCGGAAAACAGCCGGACCTCCGATCCCGCTCTCTGGCCCACCCCGGGTTGAGCCAGCTGCCAGTCGCTGTTTCTTGGCCTGTTTTCTGATTTTATTTTTCCGCTCCAGATGGTATCCTGCGTTTTCTCTCCTCTCAGCCTTTCCTCACACTGGTCCTTACCCTGCATTCCCTTCCTGGTACAGATTTCACAGTCCTCACGTCACTTTTTCATGAAGCCTTTGCGAATCCCCTGTGGGTTGTCCCATGGCTTCTCCTAGCTTCTCCTGCGGGGCCCACAGGCCTCAGGGTGCCTGCCCAGTAGCGGGGGTGGAGGGAACCAGCAACGCTCCTTCCTTTCTGCCTCCCCAAGCCCCCAACAAGTTCATTTTTTCAGTCAGTCTATAGATGCTTGAGTGCTCATCCTGCAGACCCACTGATGGCGATCTCCTGGGGTCTGAAAGGACTATTTAATTTCATCTCATTACAACTATTTCAGAACATCTGCTAGGAGCCAGGTAATCAATTAAATTCTGAGGAGACTGGAACAAATAAACACAAGCCCTGCCCTTGCCCAACTTACAGTCTAATTGGGGAGCGGGGATGGGGGCAAGCATTCCAGCCATGGCAAGATAGTGAATGAAGAGCACTCCTGGGGGGGTCCCTGGATTTTTTTATTATTATTTTTTAATCCTCACCTGAGGATATTTTTTTCCATTTGTCTTCAGATAGAGAGGGAGGGAGGGAGAAACATCGCTGTGAGAGAGACACATCAACTAGTTGCCTCCTGCAGGATCCAGACCAGGGCCAGGGACTAACTGCAACCAAGGTATATCCCGTGGACCGGAATTGAACCCATGACTCTTTGGTCCATGAGTTCCCCGGGTTTACGGGAAGATAATCCGGCCCACTTCTGAGGAGCTGAGCTGCAGGCTTCCTGAAGTCCTATAATTTAGAACTTGAAGCTAGATCCTAAAAGTTGAGTACAACTTAGAGAATACCTTTCCTCTGTCTGTGTGTGTGTCCAGCATGGAGCCATTCATAGACATAATCAAGTCCAGTGAAGAATCCTGTCATAGCTCACTTAAATCCCAGAATATATAAACGAGCTCCATTCAAAGTCCTTCCTCCAGACTTGGGTCCCTCGGCCTCAGGCTCAGTCCCCAACATTGGGCTTCTCTGAACAAATCTCGATCACCCAGCATGCGCTGAATCAGCCGAATCAGCCTTACAGAGAGGAGGGGGCTCTGCCTGTGAAGCCAGCACCCAAGGGGGTTCTCAGGCAAAGCGAAGGCTGACCGCTGCAGGGGATGGTGTGAGGAAGGCGGAGGCCACAGGCAGGACGTAGGCTGGGGCTGCCTCCACAGGAGGGATGCGGTAGCATGCCTTAGACCTTGCACACCTGCGCGGGTGTTCGCCCTCCGCCCAAACATTGACGTGGTCACCGCTGTGCATCAAGCACCATCCTAAACTCTGAAAGTACCAACAACAACCAAACGAGAAACCTGGTCAAGACGAGTACTCTGGATGTATGGACTAAGTACGTTGAGAGTAAGGTCAAGACAGTGGTGGCTGCTACCTGGGAGGCCCCAGCAAGGCTCCTCAAGTGATGTGACAAATAGGCTGGACTCTGAATACAGGGAAGGAGCTCTCAGGTGAAGGAACACCATCAGGAAGAAACTGGGAGCCCTGGTTGGTTCGGCTCAGCGGTTAGAACGTCGGCCTGCAGACCAGAGAGTCCCAGGTTCGGTTTTGCTAAGGGCACGTACCTCGGTTGCAGTTTGTCCTCGGCCCTGGTTAGGGTTGTGTGGGTGGCAGCCAGTCGATGTGTGACTCTCTCACATCAATGTTTCTCTCTTTCTTCCTCCCTCTCTCCCTCCCGCTCTATCTGAAGATAAATGCAAAAATGTCCTTGGGTGAGGATAGAAAAAGAAAGAAAGAAAAGAAACTGGGAGACAAGATTCTAGAACAGTCTATGTAAAGGGAGATGTTGTCGGTATGAGGGAGAGTGGGGAGTTTTATGTGGCTAACGCAGACCAGGCCTATTTGAGGTGAGATGAGACGAGACCAGAAAGAGAAGGCGGAGCCAGCCTAAGAGAGGCCCTCTGAGCTGTCTAAGAACTTGGATTCTAAGGCAACGAAGGGTTTTTGAATGTTTTGAAGGAAGGAAGTGGTATAACTATACTTGAGTTAACAGAAACCCTTGGTTATGGCCACATAGATGACGTTTGAAGCAGGAAGACTGGAGGCAGAGAGACTAGTTAAGAGATGGGTATCGTGACCCAGGTGAGATGTATGAGGATCTGAATTGGTTCACATAGCAGCTGTGGGGATGGAAATGACAGGGCGGATTTGGGATATGTTTGAACTAGAGTCTGCAGGATTTGCTGAGCAAATAAATGGAAGAGGAAAGAGTGAGACAAAGGAGTGGGAAGAGACATTTAGTCTTTCGCTTGGGTACCTAGACAGACGGCATAGCTACTAATGGGACAGACAAGTGGAAAAGTGCATGAGGCAGCCAGTTGGCGGGGTCTGCAGTTTTAGAGGGAAGACAGGGTTAATGATTGAAATTTGAAAGTCATTAGCTTGAAAACGGGGGTGAAGCCAGAGAAGTGATAGGGTAGGAATTTGAACCCCAGCCTTTAGTTTACTTCCACAAATGTTTACTGAGCACCTGCTATGTTCCAGGGCCTGTGGTTTGCTGGAGATTCAGAGATGGTAAGTAGAAGATGGCCCTGTGCTTCTGCAATGAGGAGGAATGCAGGGATCAGCATAGCCCATCTTCTGGCATCATGTCCAGACTTACTGTTGAAGTCTAGTCGTAGTTGGTAGTTGGAGTATAGCGTGTCTCTGATCTGCTGGAATATGCTCTCAACCATGGCTACAAAGTTGCCTTTTTAATTTTAAGGTCATTGAGGGCAGGTGCACTGAGGAGCCCCGCCCAGCCCCACATAGACTGAGCTCAGTTCTGTTGATCACCCTTAAACCTGCACTGTATGTGGACAATGTGGCTTTGTGGAGGGGTGAAATGTAACATCAGTTTCATGTCAGAGTTAAATGTTTTTGGTTAATATAAACATAGCAGTCCCTCCCATCAAAATCTGTTCCTGTAAAATATCAACATTTATTATCAGACTTGAAGAATTACATGCGATTTTTCTTTGCTTCTCCATCGTTCTCTGATTTTACAATTTTCTGCATTTTCCAAAATGAGTGTATTATTTTGTACAGTAAAATGATGTTGAGCAGAATAAAAACATTCCGAAGATGCTTTCCCAGTGGGTTATGTAGAGGTTTCATTTGATGTATTTTCAGGAAAACACCTGCATTTCTTTACGGATAATTTGTGCTCTACCAAAATGCCAGAGAATGATGTGAAAAGTGAACAGAAAAAATAGCTTTGGTTATAATTGGCCGTTGCTAACCAGTGGAGAGCTGTCACAATCTTATTATGTTTAGTATCTTTTCATTACCAAAGTAACAGCCAGGCAAACAAAATCACTGCTAGTGAAGATATTTTTGTCTTTTTTATATTGTTGGCTTATTCACACAGTTGTGTTGACATTGTAGAATTTTTATCCTGCTTTTCTCACGTGATGCTGTATGAGCATCATGTTTCAAAAATTGTCTCTGCAAGTCGTATTTTAAGCCCCCGCAGATCTTTCATCAAGTGGGTATACTAGACATTTCTTTACATGTGAACACTTTGATTGATTCGTTTTTCCTTATTATAAACAATGCTGCCGTGAATGTCTTCCCACTCCCATTTGTTTCTGCAGCCAAACTCTCAGAAATGACATTATTGAGACAAGCGAAGTGACAACGTGCGCGGCTCCTGAAACGTGTACCACCGTCTTCCAAAAGAATTCTAGCAAACAGTCTTCTCACCAGCAGTGGGTTCTCATGGTTGGAACCTCTGCTGTTATGGGTATGGCACCTCGTTGCTATTTACTGACAGTTTAGCTGTGACATTACCATTCAGACTGAGAGCCTGTTTATCTAAAGCCCAGTACATGAGTCTGCGGCCATGTCTGCAGTTAGAGGAGAAGAGGCGATGGTCCTGCCATCCGCATGGGCCCACTGCAGTGACTGTGCTTTGGAGACATCACCAGTTACGGGCTCAGCTTTGGAGGTCCACACGCACCCTTGAGACCCTGACTCAAGGAACCAAACCCACAGCAGACTGAAAACCAACCTCCGCTACCACTACCCTCGGTCTTAGATTCCTGTCAGTGTACAAATATCGACAGGTGTGTCCCTCTTAAACAGAATATGTATTTAAAACATTTTTACATCCCACTTTTCTTTTCAGCCACTTTCCCATCTCTCTTCTTCTCTCAATAGTCAGCCTTCCTGAAACAGTCCCCTGCTTCTCCCCACGGCCATCCACTCTTCAGGACTCCACAGCCCGCAGCCTCCGCGGGGCCACGTCTCAGGACGCGTTCCGTCCTAATCTCGCTAGACGACACTTGTCCCTGCAGTTCTCTCCTCCCTTAGCTTGTGAAGAAGTGCAAAGGTTTTACTTTTAAAGGTTTTAGTTTAAAACCTGACTCTGACATCTCATCTTGAGCACATTTCTTAACCTTCTCATCTCTA